TATTGCTGAACCGATTCTACCTGAATGCCTTTCTCAAAAAATGCGCTCCTTCCCTCCACACAAACTCATAGAGCTTCTTAGTTTCCGAGTGAGCAGAAACTTCAATTGAACGTTCCCTAATCTCGCACGCCCTCTCTAAACCCTTTCCACGTGCTTGGACTTCTAAAACCACAGCTTTTCCTGTCCCCATCCATTCACAAATGAGCTCTAGACCAGTGCTTATCGTCCCCACACTGAGCCCCCTTATACTTATGGTCTCATAGAAGTGATCCGTTCCCACCAAAGAACCCTTTCTTTCTAATCTTCCCACTGCTGAGCCCTGTACTTAACATCATGGCGAACATGCAGTTGAATAGGGGCCACCTTTCTTCCTTAAAACTAAGACCTAGGGCGCTGAGAGGAGGAGGCAGCCTCTTTGTGGGCTCCTAACTGTACTTGGAAAAGTTCCTTGACCAGCTTGGTCCATTTTTTGAATAGAAATGGAACAATGGTCGACTCTCCCCTTATAAGACCTAGTTGTTGACCAAATGTGAATGGCCACACATACATTCAATACGCCACTACGATTCTGAGAAGCCGAATGCGGGCCACGTCCCTCAGACGAGATAGATTAAAGCCAAGATACTTTATCCCTTGAATATTTCGATAATAGGATGGCGTTCCACATCACGCACCACCTCTCATGAAGCGTTGGAACATCCTTCAGAAAATGGTTGGGCGATGTGAACTCAGTGAAGAGTAGAATGAAAAGTTCCATTGTGGGAAGAACTTCTGTAATGCTTCCTAGACCATGAAAGAAGGGGAGGATGAAGCTGAGTGACCACCGAAATATTATTGAAAGTTTTCAGAATAGAACTCCTTACTTTACTCTTCATTGCCGTCAGCACGGCGCTTGTTCCGTTTGGAGAAGCTTCATCATCCTCCATTTCTGAATTATGTTAGGATTAAAGTTCAATAACCCTACTATAATATCCTCTTCAACGAAAAATTAACAATCACTCAACAAAAGGGGATGATCATGGTCGGGCAAAGAGAAATAACGTCACGGTAGGTGAAATGGCTACGATAGGGAGTCAAACATTTCCTTCCGTTAAATAGGGAAGTGCATGGTGGAGATGAACGACAAAGTGGCCGAGTTGACTGAAGTCCCACCAATGGCTTTTAAGGACCTAACTACAATAATGAAGAACGAGAAGCAGACGATGTCACAGATGATGATTGCCATGGAGAATTGAAGACCGAACACCTTTCGAGACGGTCCCAATGATTGCCATACCTGCCCAGATGTTTTGCCCCATTAAAAATTTCGAAAGAACTTGCATATTCCAGGTGTTAGATGTACTAATGCCTCCCTTGAAAAAGTCATCTATAAAGATGGCCCACATGATCCGCATGAACCCTACTCGTGGCCGCATTATGGACGATTCCTATTTGGTGCCACAGACCATGGTATCAGCATTGCGAGTACCATGGGAACTACTTTGGCAAGAATACCTCCTTTCTGTAAATAGTGGAACAGTAAGAAAGGGCATGGATCTTTCCCATTTGATTGAGAAGATCACTGAAACAGGGACGATGGCATCATGAACAAAATGCCTTAAATGGATTTCGGAGCATGCCTTAAAATGGAATGCTTGGCCCAGTAAATGTGTGAGGCTTCCCTGATTCTGTCCTTAACGCATCTTGTTTATTAAAAGTGTACTACAATGGTTTGCATTATGATGCAGCCAGGCATAATGCATAATGCATAGTGATGCTGGGACCTGCACCAGTGTGCCGGCAGCTGCACCGGTATGCCGGTACCTGCACCAGTATGCATGGCACAAGTATGGCGGGATCTGCACCAATAACTTGTGTTTAAATAGGAAGTCAGTGGTTTGACAATCTTATTATCCCGCACTTCGGCTGTCGGATTTTGAGTGTAGCAATATGATTGAATGGAAATGGACCGGCCCCTGCACCATTATGCCGGCACCCGCGCCGGACCTCACTACATTAGTTGAAAATGATTTTCGTGAGATTCCCAGTGGAAGATTGCTTCAAGTGCGGAGACTTTCCACACAGCCTCACTTACCGTTTTCCTCCTTCTCCTGGCAGTATTCCATGTTTGCCTGCAACCCGGCAATTATAGTGTTTTCGGATGATCGGTTGCTCATTCTGGCTCCGCTCGTTCGATCTTATAGCTATTTTCAGCCGGTCTGAAATAAGATTTTATTATAGAACTGTATTATTCCATAACATTAGGGACGGTTCATTAAACGCTTTCAAAGGGAACTCCTCGAAGACGCACTGGCACGATGACTACATTTGAATTAAATTCGAGGTTAAAAATTTAACAAATATGGTGAGAGGGGAAAACTATTGAGAAAGAGTATTCTGAATTAAAATGCTCATGGCGAACAAATAGAGCATACACTTTATATGAGAACAATTTTAGAAAAAGGGAAAGTTATGGGCATAAGGATGAAGTTGTTCAGTGTTAAGCGATCTGCCTCAATAACGATAAATAACAAAGCCAGTGAGAAAGGAGTACGACAGGCCCTATGGGTACAATGCTGCCATAAATCAATGCAACAATGAGCGATGGGTGCGAAGTTCACGCGATGGGCGGTCCGTTATTATCGACCCCAGGGTGGATGGGGTCAAAGTCATAACCGGAACACACATTTGCTGGTTACTGTAGGCCCGAATCCTTAAGTACTCGGGGTTTTCATGTAAGGACTACCCATGCATACACGAACAATCCGACTAGCTCTTCCTTGCTTATTTACCTGAATAATGACCAAACTGCCTAACCCAATTCAACCAATACTTCTTTACCGCTCTGAATTTGGCCATTCCGTTGCTGAACCCACGTTGAAACTTGTGCTAAGCAAATGACCTTAAAGCACCTGGTAAGCGATTATGTGTACACCTTGGAGCAAGGCATCACAGTCCGAAGGTGAAAGGCGAAAGATGAGCCCTGAACTGGCCAACAGA